GTGACAGAGCACTGGGACAGGCTGCCCAGAGAGGGTGTGGAGTCTCCTTCTCTGGAGATCTTCAAACCCCGCTTGGACGCAGTCCTGTGCCACGTGCTCTAGGTGACCCTGCGTGTGCAGGGGGTTGGACTAGATAACCTCTAGAGGTCCCTTCCACCCTTAAGCATTCTATGATTCGACCAGCTGTCACGGCCTCTCCAGTCACTTCTGCACACCTCGGGTACGGGCAGGGCTTGCTGTTGGCACCGACAGCACTGCCGTGCCCGACGCCAACACCAGCCCTGTGAAACACCTTCCCTCTTCGCTGTTGGAGCAGACTTACACTGCACGAAGCGGCTGGTGGGGAAGCTGTGCCATGCAGTCACGCGCAAGCACAACAGCGACACCCCGACAAGATAGAGGTATTTTCACCCTTGTGCCATTGCCCATGTCCATCAGGGAAGGTGCCTGTCCCCCCCCGCCAGTGGCGGCATCAAGGTCACCCCAACTCACTGCTGTGGCACCTGCACAGCCCTTGGGCCCATTGCAACAGCGCGCGGCCCAGGCTCCTCTGAAAAGCAAAGTGTTTTGGTGAAGACTCCCTCCTTTAGCATGCGCCCCTCATCTTAACCTGGACAGTGCAGCAGCAAAAGTGTTTGTGCCCCAAAGCTGGATTCTTTTACACGTAAACTGACAAGGTGGTCCAAACAGGTAAGAAAGCCTGTCCATGTCATTGACAATTACCAGTTTTTCGCAGTTTTTCAGCTTGTATTGAGGTGCCTAACGACAGAGCTGTGCTAGCTCTTGCTACCAAACTGTCCATACTTCATACAGTATTTTTTTCCCAAAGGTTCACCCAAGTGAACCTATGAAGTCTGTATGAGCTGTGATGTTATTTTTTTTCTCCTTCTATAAGAATTTACCCGCTTTTCAAGAGTATGCAATGTTTTTTAGAACTAAGTTTCATATAATAAATGGTTAGTTTTATGAATGTCATGTTTAAGCTTTTTTTGTTTGTTTGTTTGTTTTTTTTTCCCACTGTTAAGGCACCATCCTTCTTCATAACCTAATCACCCTGGCCTGCTTTTGTGCTTTTGTGACAGATTTTAAAAAAAGAGAAGTCAGAAGCATATCCTGCTTTCACAAGATGCCACGTTAAACCCATATACCTATCTCCTGGCCAAGAGGTTCCTTGCTAAGTGCTTGTCATCAGAAAAGGATTTTGGAAGCAAGCACACTGTTTTCTAGGAAGCTGCTGTCCTTGCGCTGTCCAAGCACGTGCCGTACAGTGACACCTGGATTGAAGAGAAAAAGAGGGAAATCCATCAAGGACCCTGGTTGAAGGAACAAGAACACAAACTTCTTTTGACTGTTCAGTCACTGATCTATACAGGAAGACATTATTCCAAGAGAGATCTGTGCCCAGAGAAGTAAAAATCAACTCAAACGCTTTCTTAAAAAGTTGCAGAAGTTTCTAAACTTCATCACAATCTGCTCATAGTAAGTTATGATAGTTATAATAGGGGAGAAAAAAAAAAAGGCAAACTATTCCCAGCACCTTCACTTCTGTTTGTGGTGCTGTTCACAGCTGCAGTGACAGGTATGATTAAGTTCCTAAGGATAAGTGAAAAAAGAAAAAAAGAAGTAATAAGCTCATGGCAACAGAATATATCAGAATAATATATTAGAATAATTATTCTAAATTGTTTCAATTATTTAAAACATTACTACCTTATAAAAAGGTGCAAGAAAGACGAGTGACCTGGACATGAAAGGTGACACCCTGCATGACAGCAAGGCCTTCCCTGGCTTCCCAGGATCTAAAACCAGTGGCCTCCTGCCACCTGGTGAAAGCAGCCTTCTACTGCAAAGCTATAGGAAATCCCAGGGAAGTCATCTGAACTTAGGTTATAACTTTTTTTAAAATTACAAATTAACTCCATAACCAGAAGAATGTCTTTTTCTGTAGAAGGAGGGGAAAAAAAAAAACAAAACAGCCATTCACCTAGAAAATGAGCATCCACTTGCTATAATCATCTGTTTATACCTACTGAACACAACAGTCCCAGCACCAAATTGGAGTTTACCTTACAAGCTCAGTTGCTCTGGGAGGACACCCTGCAACCAGCCCACACCGAGTCCAGAAGCGATCCCAACGTGGAACAAGCCGTGGTCCCATGGGCAGCAGGAAGCCCGGCGCTCACATCCCCTGCGCTCTCCCCAGCTGATGATGATTTTTATGCCGAGCTGTACAAATCTGCTAGGGTGATAACCTGTAACCACCCACCCATGCCCAGAGACATCAGCCAGGGGTGCAAAGATGGACTTTGTGAGAAGGGGGAAAGGAAGCAGCTACAGAGCAGCTAGGCTAAAAGCCGGGTAGGTTTTTACTGCCTGCTCTTGTGCTTCAACAGTTCTTTGCTCTTAAAACCGCAAATAAAAATTTTCAGAAAAACGATCTTACATACCACATAGTGGATTTACACACTGCGGTATGAAGGTTTTTCTATACAAACAGTTGCTCCTAATTCCTTGCTGAAAACCTAATAGTGGTTCATTTCCTACCTTCTGAGTCTGCACAGATGCTAGAACCTATAAACAGGCAAGAGTAAGATGACTGATGCTGGATTATTTCTACCATTAATCCATGAGAAGAAAAAACACAAACAAAAAGAATTACTACTGTTGACAAAAGCAAACAGTATTCCTCCACTGTATTCCGCAACTTTATTTTCATAAGCAAAAGAGCAATTAGGGTTCAAAACACCACCATAATGCAAAGAGGCAGGCGGCTTTGAAATCCCAGCCCAGTCGTGCCCCTGTGGTGAGGAAGATGCAGAAACCCCTGCCCAGCTGCCCCTTGCTACAACCTCCTCTGAACTAAACACACTAAGGTCTTAACTAATGAGAAACACTGAAGCGCACCCATCTACACACTTCGTTACAAACTATGATTTCAATCTTCCTCTGGTGCACTTACCTGCTAAAGCGGGAAAAAAATAAAGGGGTAGGACAAATAATCTGGAGCTGATTTCAATTTGATGGTATTTAAATAGAAGTTAGTTTCTTTTTGGCTAATATTAACATCTTGTGGAAAGCCAAGAGACTTCTTAAGGGTATTTGCATTTTGCATTTTAATTATACTAAATGCTTTAATTTGGAAAAAAGGTATCAATGATACCTCTCCGAATTGATATTATTAGTAGTAATATGGAAAAAATAAGAAGACAAGTTATTTCAAAACCTATTTTTAATACTTCAGTTTGTACATCTAAGCACGGGACTGTTTCGCTACATGACACTTTGCACTCAGGCTATTTAAGAAGATAATTGTTGCCTCAATGCAAAGAAGATGTGAAATTAAATTTCTGATGCACAACATTCACAAGAAGGACGAAAGCCAAATTTACTGCTGTTACATTACAGCACCATCCCACACTGTACAGTGTAATGACCAGAAATTAGATCAAAGCCTTAATTTCAGCAAGAGAATTTTACACTATTTAATATGGACTTTTATTTTTTTTAAGCACTTCACCCAGTATGTTTTTGCAGTGGCTTCATTTGAGGGGGCCATAACACAGGAGAGTTACAGCGGGAGGAAATGATCTTTCAGAGGCAAACGTGTATTACAAGGATCACAGCATTAATGTTTTATTGTTTACACAATGATAAGTTGCACATGTGGAAAAACAGTACACGTTTAGAATTTCACAAATTAATACATTACAAGGAAGTCCAGTGGTTTAACATATTAACTCCTAAAAAAGCATTAACAAAGAAATACAAACAGTAGGGTCTTGACTGCAGCCCAATACAATTTAAAAGACAAAAAGGTTGAAATGAGAATAAACCGTGAATTTTGTTTTTCTCAATCATAAAACTCCCTACAGAGTATATTCCTTCCTAACAGAATGTTCACAAAGATGCAATACCATACAAGTGTACGAAAGTGAACAATTCCATGCTCTGTTTCCCTTACTTTTTACCTGATTAAGTAACAAAACAGAGAATTTGCCACAGGCCAGTCACTGCTGAATGCAAACATATATGTTCTACTATATAAAATGGCAGTAACACTAACAACAGAAAGCAACTGACATGGTACTATAAAAAAGTATTATGCACTATAGCACTTTTTAGAAAAAAAGGTGCTTTTGTGGAAATAATTGCGACTATTCATTTGATGCATGTTATACACAAAACATCATCTACATACAACCAACACTCGGCTCCAAACTTCCACGTTCACATTATAACTGCTATCTTTATTGGCAAAGACTCAATTGATACATTATTTATTCCATGCAAGGCAACCTCTCTGTCAGATGTTTTCCAGCTCTCCAATGTACTCTGCATGGAAAATGCAGCAAAGCAAGCCCAAATGTACCCTGCAATATCCATGCTCTCCTGTCAAAATAGCTTAACCTTCACACTACATCGTTTTCCTCTATTCTTTAGCAGCAACTTACTGTATTATGCCTCATACTGGGGACTGATATGCAACAGCTTTTAAGTCAACGCTATTAGTGCTGACTAGAAGCTACATGAACCAGCTCTTGCGATGGTTAAACTAAGGTTTTCACTAGGCAGCAGTGCCCGTCCCCTCCACATGCACAGGGAGGTGCATCAAGGCTGCAGCCCTCTGTTCGCACACAGATCTTGGGGACTCCTGAGCCTGCAAATGAAACGCAGCGACACACTGCTGTGCAGCACAGGATAAAGAGAAACAAAACCACCCAGTTCAGGAACATTACCTGGGAAATGTCAGTGTTCGGCCGCTGTATGGGTAAGAAAAAAAATCAGGAGTAAGGCGGGTTAAAAAATGGAGGGGGAGCTACTAAGCACTACTTGCCAAAGGTAATGACAGTAAAGATTAACTTGGTTTTAAACAAAACACAAGGTGTGGTGATAACACAGGCTGGGCCCCATTACTGAGACTCCCAGGGACAGCAAGGTGTGGGAGCACAGAACAACGTGGAGAGAGTGAGCACACAAAGAGGAGACCTGTCTATGGGGTCAGGTTTGCACGTGGTTTTATTTTATACATTATATATATACACATACATACACACACACAGATGTGTGCACTGTACTGTATATATTTACATCCATATACACAAAAACACCCTGAAGTAGATTTAAAGGCCATATCCAAGAACAGAAGATATGAACTCTAGTATTTGTACTAGAATATATTTTATCTGTACAAAAAACAAATATGCATATATTCATATGGTATAAAGCTTATTAACAAAAAATATTCTGCTACTAGCATTAGGTTAAATAAATGGTTTTACAAGATTCTTCAATAATGCAGTATAGAACATTTCTAAAACTAGGGCCAAAAATAAAAATACATAAATGGGTATCTATTCACAGGAAAATAGCTGTTCAATATGATTACATTTCAGACTACGGAAAAGTAGCAAAATTTTTTTTTTATAAATCTCACAGGATGCAATTTAATTAATGCATCAAATCTAGAAAAATAGACTTTACAGGTGAACAAAGCTGCTGCCCTCCTCTCTCCCTAGCAGGGTGCCTATCTTTTCCCTCTCTTGTTTCCCGCCGGGGGTTTCTTCAGCTGCAGCAGTTGCCCTCCCGTGCCGAAGCCGGCGGAGGCCGGGTTGGACACCCCGAACGTGAGGCCGGCCGACGCCGTGATGCCCGGGTTGCTGAAGTTAAACCCAGATGTAGTCGAGCTGCCAAAGCCTTATGAGGGAGGGAAGAAATATTTTAAAACAGAAGTTATATCACGACTGCAAGCGTGTTCTTCTCGGGGCTGTGAGCGTGGGCTACGTTACTAGCAGCACCCGTGCTATTCGGTACTCGGATGGACCCACAGGGCTAATGCACTTGGACTTGTTAAGGCAACTTGGACATTCAGCATTAACAGGGTCTACCCCAATGATCTGGGGCAACTACATCACGATCGGGTGAATAAAATTCATCTGCAGGTTTCAGCAACTTTCACATCAACTCACTTTACCTGTCTTTTCTTTTTTTTTTTTTTTAATCAGTTATTTATAACCCCATGGTATAAGTTGAAATTACTAGAGAATGCTAGAAATTCATCAAACACTAGTTAATAAGTAGTTCATAAAAGCCTTCATTTTGTTCTCCAAAGGAAGAAATAAGACACCACACACAAACGTAACATTTACAGGTTAAAATATTAACAAATAATTTCATAGTAGTTGCACGTGGAAAATCTGCAAGTAATGAAAATATTAAGAAAAAGACTTGTTAGAAAGCCAAAAAAGAGTATATTCTTAATATGCACCACCTTATCCTTAATACATATATAGCTTGAACAACTTTCAAGTAGCATAACCCAACAGTTGAAACAGAACTTTAGCCAATGCTCTACAGCATCTTTAAAGCACAGAAACAGGAGCTCGACCGGGCGCCTCAGGTTTCTGAAGCTGCTCACACTAAAGCTGCCCAATGTCTCTATTTCCTCACGTACAACCAAAGTTCTAGATAGAGAACCATTATTTCAAAGAACTAGGTGAACCTCTTCAAAATATCTGGATTAGGGCTAAGTGACTGATTGCAGAAAGTTTACCCTGGTCTCAGCAGAACCCCCTATTTATTTGCTTTACAATAACTGCAGCTCCTCAACACGCAGTTGCCAGTTGGGGAACTTGCCACCCTTGTAATAAATGTGCTGATATAGAATAAAAGCTCCTGGTGATGGTTTTCACTGGAACCCAGCTTGTCTCTCATCCTAAGAAACAGAGCATGAAGCAGATGTAGCTATTTCTCCATTTCCTCTTTAACTCAGAAGCCCATGTAAGGTTTTGGAAGAATAAATCTAAGCCTGCTGTCTTGTCCTTCAGGAAGTCTCATGACTCAGCAGAAAAAGTTACAAGATAAAAATGTAAATAGTGTTTTTACTTGACTCTGACATCAAAAACTAAGCAAAAGGTTGATGCCTTCAATTTGCACACAGCAAAATCAGAAATTTTACCAAGAATGTATAGGATGCTATGCCTTCACAAATATTTAGTTAACTTAGCAAGGTATTTTCACTTTATTAAATAAAATTTAAGATACTTTAAGCCTTACTTGATAGAACAACCCAATGTTAACCAAGAAAAATGCACATAAAACACTGGTCCAATATAACATAGCAGGAACTCGCATAATAAATACTAGCTACTTACTATGGTCATAATGCTACCTGATAAATGAAACAGTCCCAATGAAACAAACAAGAAGGGATTTTCTTTTAAAAGAGAAGCATGTTATCAAATGCCCATCCCAGAAGACTGAGTTCTCTAATCTGCCATTGAACAAACACCACAGGGAAATACATGCTAAGAAGCAAAGAAATAAAAAGCCCCACGGTGCCACAAACACCCCCAGATCCAAGCAACTTCCAGTGAAAAAGAAAACAGGGAATCTACAGCAGTGACTGAGATGTCAGAGCTGCGTTAAGGTGCAGCTACATCTATTTTTTTCATCTTCTCACCAACAACTAACTAGTACAAAATAAGTCAAATGAATAGAAAGATCGGTAGTTCCACTGCAACGAAAATATTTTCAAAATACTTAGCACATACATATAAGTTATGAGTATATATACAAAAAAAATACTTACAACTTGCTATTGAGAATATAAAGAATAAGCAAACAAATAGCTTTAAGAAAAGTTGCAAAACCTCTAAAAAGTAATTTTTCCTTTACTTTTGAATAGAAGACATCAAGTCACTGGTATGCCTCAAATTTCAAGGTGTCTGTAACAATATTTCTTATGCATTTAAATGACTGCATTTGTGTGCCTCAAACTACCCAATTAAAATCCTCTATTCTCATTTCTAGTTAGACTGATACCATCAAGTGAAAAAATATTAGTGCTCATTGGACGCTTAAAAAATCCTAAAATCTTCTCTGAAATCCGTATTTAGCACACAAACTCTTCAATACTTGAACACACAGGGAACTGCAAGCACACCTGTTTCAGCAGCTCTCTTAGACTGCACTTAGTAGTTTGCATATAGCACTTTAACTTAAACTTGGGATTCTAGGTAAAAAAAACAACCCACCTGCACTGAGACTTCCCGAGGGTTTACTTGTACTTCCAAATCCAAAGGACGACGCGCCTGTGGCACTGCTTCCAAAGGCAGAGCTGCTTCCAAACCCTAGTGGAATAACAGCAAGGACATACAACAAACAACAACAAGAAAAGACACTGCAATTAAAGGCTAAGCATAATTCTAAGTATTATTTGGTAAGCAAAATATTCCAAAGGTTAATGCCTCAGGAACATCTTATTCTCAACGGAGCACTGCTTTCCTTAAGAAAACAGAGTGAACTGCAAGCAGGAAAGCATTTGAAAGTCTTAAAAACCCAAAACTGAATAAAACAAAATGCTACATATGATCAGAGGTGAAGTATCAAAGGTTATGACATTGCTATTGAGGTGTTAAATTAGCAGTTTAAATAATATACTATATAGGCCTAACACTTAAAAAAAAAAAAAAATCAGACAAGAATTATGCATCTTATTACAGAAAGCCACAATCTTCATCTACAAGTATAGAAAATTTTTATGCCTTTAAAGCAGAATAAGCTATTTGAATTTAAGTTTGGCTTTATTTTATTTGGGATCAGTTTCATCCTATTTAGGAGACCAGGAAATAGGTTTGGAAATAGAACTTCATGTTGTTGAATGGAAAAAGACTATCAAAATTGGGCTGCCATAATTGTATTGCTGAAATAAAACCAAGCCTGTTTGTTTTGTAGTTGAGATAGTTATAATTACAAAATACACGTTGGTCAAGATAAATAATTCAAGTTCTATTAACATGAAGTGACTTAAAAAAAAAACCTAAAGAAACAAAACAAAACAAAAAAAACACCCAGAATTGAGTTCATATTTGCAGCCTGAGATAAAAGCCAGACCAAAGGAAAGGTAAGAAATATATTCTGTAATTTTGGCTGTTTCAACAGGTAGTTATCAAAGTGAGAACAGTCTTTATATTTGAGGAAAACTTTCAATGGGAGCAGAATTAACCAGAATAAGAAAAAAAAATTTGAACTGAAGCATTTACCTTTCTTTTAAAGAATTGGTTTACATGTTAAAATTAGTAATATTTGACTATACAATCTGAATGATCATTTCATAGTTGTCTATTTTTGAAACCAATGAGAATTCTAAATATGTAAAATAGCAGGTATTAGTTGAATGCAAAACTATTTAAGTGTCATTTTTTTGGTCTCAACTTGAAATGAACTATTAACAGGCATGCAAGTATCTGTCAGCAAGTACTTCATGAAGTACAGGAACTATATGCTACACATCTTAAACACTTAAGTGCAGAAGTCTATTAATGACAATTCACAAAAGATGTATTAGGAATAAAGGGCAAGTTTCCCAATTAAAGTGCAACATTGAGAGTATATATTAAAACCTGTAAATAGGTTGCCCCTTCCCTCCCATAAATATATATTTCTAAATGCCTGAAGTATACACTCTCCTCCTCCATTTCCAACACCACCATTCCAGGATATTTTGTGTATATCACTGTATTCCACTACTTCTATATTCTACTGCTTCCTTCCTTCCTTCAGGCAGTCTTCTCAGTTTGTCAAGAGACCAGAATGTTACAAATATAGAAGTGCAAGCAAAGTACCTTCCTAAACAGAGAATTAATAAAGAAAGAATAGGGGTTAGACCTCTAAGACACAGTTTAAAAGAAAGTATTCTTGAATTTGTGTAGGCAAGATATGCAAACATATACAGACAACCTCTAGTGTCTTCACTGAAAATATGTTTAAGGTATCCAAAACATAGGAGGAGCAATCTGATAATTTAGGAATAAATATTTTTTGTTTTAGATGAAAACAGACTTTCCTCTCTTTGAACAGTTCACAAAGTCCATTACTAGACTTAAGAATAATTTCAGGATGATTGTGTCAAGGGAAAACTGATCTTTAAGCACTGTATACAACAGGAGTTAAGCTGTTCTAAAAGACAGTGATGTTTAATTACTTTAAATACTTTGACAGCAATTCCTAGATATTGATCCTGAAGAAACGAAATGGAAGGATGAGAAGTGGGGCTGCAGAGTGGACAGGGAATGACAAGAAAGGTGAGCACAAGGCACTATGGTTGTGCTCAACCAATGTAGTAATTTCCTTTGCAGATCTCATAAAAGATTCAGAGAACACAAACACCTTGACTTGCACTTAACGCTGCATTCAAAGGAAGAGTTCTGCCTGAGTCTTATTTATATTGAAGATCACTACCTACTTTTCTATGATCATACACATTTTTGGAATACACCTCCTCTCACTGCACTCTAAATTCACGTTTTGATGATGATAATTTGCTTTTCCTTTCAGATGTTGCACTGCTCTACAGCTTGAGAAAAAGTTTCCTTTTTTCCCCACCTCGACGCTGACGTGACAGCTGGATCAAACATGTTTCAGCAAGCAGGACCCTGGGACCATAGCTGTTTCTTAGCATGCTGTCTTATCTCAATGCAGAAGCAGAAATAGGTTCCCATAATTAGTAGTTGTACATACAGGTATATAGGTTACCTACTGCATTTCCTGTGTCTCAGGTGCCTAACTTCCAAATACGTAAACAAATGAATTCAGGTTCTAGTTACAAAGAAAAGGACTTAGGAGTTTTCCAAAAGCTAGGGAAAAAGTGTTATGTGACTATTTCATCCCGTTCATCCCAAGCATAAGGCTGTGAAACTTATTAACTCCCTCTGCGAGGCATGAAGAAATCTGTAAAATACATATTGTCAAACTGCAGGCCTACCACTGAAACAGATCATTCTCTTAAGGAAGTTTTAAGGTTTGCAAGAGATTCAGATGTGCGGTAGAATAATTCAATGAAACATGAGAAAAGTTAAAGTGTACCTCCAAGGCTCGAGGGACCTAAGCCACTTGATTGCAAGCCAGTGCCAATACCTGAGCCGAATGGCGCTCCAAAACTAACTCCCAGAGATGGCTGTGGCCCTGGTATAAAAAAAATGAGAACAAACTTGCCTTACTCTTTCATAGTAAGAAAAAGAGCCTTTATTTAATTAACTACTCGATCACGTGAACATCATCGCTTTCAACATACCCCATACTTTACCTCCTCAAAATCTCTCAGATTGCCTACCTCTGCATCCACCTGGCAAGAGCTAAGAAAACACTGACCGCAATAAGGTGAAGGCAGCCCAAATTCGGCACGTAACAGCATTACATTGTATTAAGAACTTAACTGGTCTCATCTTAAAAACTTTCGTGTATTAATCTTTACTCAAAATCTTAACAGAACTATAGGTAACAGTATTTTGCCACCTGTATTAATAAAAGCAGAGAAAAAATAACCTTCAAATTAAAAACTTACGAATGAACACTAATTTAAGACTGTTACCAAAAATTAATTTAATAAATTGGAATCTTCACATATATTGCTTTAAATTTAAACTGAATATTGAATAGATAAAAAACAAGACAATGACTTTATTTTATTAAATTTATTGTTCACTTTAAAGCAAGTCAATTACACAGTAACATGACAATTCAATTCTTTTCCACACAAGTGATAACTTAGTTCTGTTAAGCTTTGCTACATTACACCATTCAAGAAGGTATACTAGTCAAACCACCTGCTTAAATAACATTTACAAAAGGCACAGTTCCGTGTACCTTAATGAGTTAGATACATTCAAAGTTTCAGATTCAGAAGTTTGTCCCATCATTTAAAGAAAATTGATAGTTTCCCCCTGCGTACTTATTAGATGCAGGGCTGCCAAAAAAACATCTTCAGTCTGCCAAGATAAAATTTACAGCCTTAGTTTCTTTTTGTCTTGAGGGATAAATTATCAGTTTGCTAGCCCATCGCTAACAGACTTTAAAATAATTCATTCTGATAAATAATTTATTAAAATATTTAAACAGTTTTCACAGTACAATTTTCTGTTTCTTTTTCAAGCACAGTTCTCAGTGCACTAGTTAAGAACTTTAATTAGAAATAAAATACAGTGCCAAACTCTTAATCCACAGACATTCCCATCTCCCCTTAAGATGGCCTTCTCTATCTGACTATCAGATACATATGTACTACATCTGTGAGCAATCATGTAATCAAATATTACAAAGCTCAAATGATTCCAGTCCTTTTCTTCCACAATCCATTATCACACTTAGGAGTATTTTCATGTTAAGATACCTACAAAGTTTCTTGTAACTCATTTTGTCTGATGTTTCAAAGTGCAAATATTTTAAGCTTTTAAAATCAGTTCAGATTTTGAGTCTTTAAATGGAAAAAAAAATCACTTTGAATCAAGTGAAAGGCACTGTATATTGAATAGCCATATTTTTACAAGGAACACAGTATTCTTACGTGATCCAAGCTGAATGACACCTGTATACTCCAACTAGTGTTAAACTAAATTTTAAGGGTAACTAAAGTTGTTCGCTTTCAGGCTCTGCTTGGCAAGAAACAGTTCGGAAGTCCGAGCTATTTTTTTCCAATTAAATATGTATCAGATGTTCTAAATACAAATTTTCACATAAACCTAAAACTAGACTTGTTTACATCCAGTTTAAATACTGACATCTACCTAGCAGCTCTTTAAAAAGAAAAACAAGATTGTTAATCAACAAAAAGAATAACCCTATAGGAGCAAGTCATACAACATTTTATTTTTTTTTAAAAAAAAGAATATATTCAGTTCCTTTTCAGCTGAAAGGAGTGCACAGGTTCCCTGCTTCAGGAGGAGGCACTGTTAGTGGAAGACCTTAAAACAAAACAAAGACACTGCAGTCCTCCAAATTTGTCTTCAAATGTACGGATTTTTATGGAGCCAGTTAAAAAACAAAACACACGCACACTTATGCTAGAACACCTCAGGTTATATAAAACAGCATCTCATACCTTAGGTTAACAATGTGTTATTTGTTGATTTTGTACCAGGATGTTCTGAAGGCATCATTGCTATTTATAATCCTTGTAAGTAAACACATGTTATTTTCAAGAGCAAAAAAAACTAATAAAGATTCTCCAATGCCAAAAGTACTAGCAAAAATTGGCACTTTTGGCTTTCACAGATATGAGACAAATTCCTTAAAACTAATATTCGGATGTTTTTCAACTTACTATGTTTGCTCTGTAGAGCATGGCATTTCAGTTTAATGGATAGGACCTACTACCAAGAGCTGAGTTAGGTCTGCAAGACTTCCAACAAAACAACATCCTGCAATTTTTAAAAAATTGCAATTGGTCCTAACATTGAGCAAATTTAGTATCGCAACTTGGATCCAATTTTGACAAAGCAATATACTGATATAAAATTTAATCGTGGCTAAGATCATATTAAACAATAAAAAAAATAAGTGCTGTACAGATTTCAGTATCACGTCCCATCACCACTTCAATCCCACTGAGTCAATTCAAACAGAACAAAGCAAACTAGTATCTTCATAATGCTTTGACTCACTCTGTACTCAGCCAGTCAAGGAAGAAGTAACTATCTATTCAAGAAGGCTGAAAGGTTAGCTTGGAGGAAAGCACTTCCTTGGTTAAGACAACTAAGTCTTACCAGAAAAAAAGCTCTAGGTCAGTGCTGGCCTTGTGCACTTACAGTTCTTAGCTCACTAAGCTTTAATTTCCCTTAAAACCTTTCACTTTAGTACCATCAATGGTAATAATGTAGGCAGATTAGCCACCCTCATTTTATCTTCCATGGTGTTAACAGACTGCTCAGGGAAGGCAAGGCCTCTAATGCACCAAAGTGTGGCCACCACTGATACAAGAAAGCTGCGTTCAGGGCAAAAAGTGCAAATTTAGGAGAAAAGTTGAGTGCAGACTTAAGCATTATCGAAATAACTTTAGCTTCTCTTAAAACAACTCTGCTCCCTCCTTTCCACGCAGCCAGGATCCACTGGCTTTGTCCCACCAGGGGCAGGACATGGAAGGGGAAAGAGGAGATGACAATGTGGCCCTGAGTTGGGTCTTGGCAGGTTCTACAGGTACAACACAGACGGGTGCACAGTTGCACTCAGGAACCATTCCTGGAATCCACAATTTAGATGTGGTTAATAAACCTTTTGACTTCTGAACATGAATTTAAAAATGAACTGTCTTTTCCAGAGAAAGAACAGTACTAACTCTACGTCAACTTTATGGAATAGACTTAACCATGTAAACATTAAATATTAAGAAAAAAAAAAAAGAGATAACCATTCTGATCCCCTGTACTAAAGTACCATATATTACATTTTAATCAAGAACTTTAAAGCCTGGATTAATTTTCTTGTTTCACTTCTGTCTTTAAGGACAGCAACAGGCAGCCAGGTATTACATGCACCCCTCACCCCCCCAGTACATACACTCCCTCACTTCCAAGTCTTTCCTCTCAAAACCTTCTACATTCCCTCATGGGTCCTACTCTTCATGACCTAGAACTTGTAAAGAAGTATGCATGTTTTTAACTTTCAGTAGGTAAAGTGTATACAAATCAAGAATATAACAAAGCTTAAAACATGCAAATATTTGCAGAGTTTTACTGCAGCAGGTTGACATCTGAAAACATTTCCTCAGACAAGAAAGAAGAAACAAAGATAAGAATCTTTTAATATTCAAATATTCCTGCAAAACTCATTACACTTTTTTTATGAGAATAAGATAAAAAATAAAAAAATAGTGGCCCTAAACTGAAGCTAACAAGTTTCATGCTGCATGTTGGAGAAAAACAAACAAAAACCCAAAATGAACTGAGAATATCATTTCACGGAAATTGTGAAATTTTTCCTTCCTAACAATGTTTAGGACTGAAAAAACTTCCTTTAGGAATAGCTCAAACTTTATTCCCTGCATTTGAAGCAAAGAAGCAGACCAGAGGACTTCAAAATTCCACCTAATCCTATTTATTTTAAAGGATTTTAAAAAATTAAAGTGCCACTCAAAACATCAACCTACCTCTACTTCTTATTGCCAGCTTCTCAATGGAGTCGCACATCATGACAACAAACTGAGTTAGCAGTAAACCCAATTTGTCATCTACTTTTACTGATGAATGTGTGATAAGCTAATGGTTTTGTTCTAGCTTTTGTTCATGATTCCTTATCTGACTTTCTTTTTTTTTTTTTTTAAGTTACTTCTAACCCCCCTGCTCTTCTGATTACAAAGTATTACAAGATACCCCAAGGTATAAAGTCACCTTACCTCATATGTGTTGGTCTGCATTTTTTTTTCCACTCCTATCCTATAAGAGAATATTCAGAGCCATGCCATAACTGGCATAAATTTAAGTTAAGCAGTTCTCTTGAATCAGGACGAGGAGAAGGAAATTTGAATCCTTTACCACATAAAAATGCAGGTAAAACTATGAATGTGCCATCTTAAGTATGTGGCTTTTGTATACAGTTAATCCTGTAATGACTGGGGAGATTTTAAGAAACAAGATAGAAGGCTAATGGAGATGGAAATGTTTTGGCAACATTAGGTCCACAAGTCACACTTCTCTCAATATTAAAAACATGAAGTGTGACATAATACCATTTTTCTTCTGTTTAAAAATAGATTCTTACCTGAAATTTCAACAGAACATCCAAAGATTAAGATCACAGC